AAAAAACAGAGAAAATCAACAAAACAAAAAGCTGGTTCTTCAAAAAGAAAATCAACAAAACAAAAAGCTGGTTCTTCAAAATGACTTAAAAAATTGATAAACCATTGGCAGATCTAACAAAAGAGAAGATCCAAATCACAAGAATTGTAAATGAAAAGGGTGTCATCACAACAGAACCAACTGAAATTAAAAAGATACTGACAGAATATTATGAAAAACTGTACTCCAACAGATTTGAGAACCTACAAGAGACAGACAAGTTTCTAGACTCACAAGACCTACCTAAACTATCCCATTCAGAGATAGAAAACTTGAACAGACCAATAACAAAAGAAGAAATTGAGCAGGTCATTAAAAAATCTTCCCACAAAGAAAAGTCCTGGCCCTGATGGCTTCACTGGAGAATTTTATCAAATATTTAGAGAAGAGTTGACACCTATACTACTCAAGCTATTCCAGAACATAGAAAAAAGATGGAATACTCCCAAACTCAGTTTTTGAAGTAAGCATAACACTAAAACCAAAACCAGGGAAAGACATTACTAGAAAGGAAAAATACAGAACGATATCCGTCATGAATGTAGATGCAAAAATCTTTAACAAAACCCTGGCCAACAGAATCCAACAACATATCAAAAAATTAATATACCCGGACCAAGTGGGATTCATACCAGGTTTACAAGGGTGGTTCAACTTCAGAAAAACAATCAATGTAATCCACCACATAAACAAAACAAAAGAAAAGAACCATATGATTATATGAATCGATGCAGAAAAGGCATTTGATAAAATCCAATATCCATTCCTGTCAGAACTGTCAGCAAAATAGGGATAGAAGGGAAATTCCTCACCATAATAAAGAGTACGTATGCAAAGCCAACAGCCAACATCATTATTGATGGAGAAAGATTCAAAGCATTCCCCTTATGAACGGGAACCAGACAGGGCTGCCCTCTCTCACCACTTCTATTTAACGTTGTATTGGAAGTCCTGGCCAGGGCAATAAGGCAGGAAAGAGAAATAAAAGGCATACAAATTGGCAAAGAAGAACTAAAACTATCTCTATCGGAGGGTGATATAATCCTGTACATAGAAAACCCAAGGGACTCAATAATAAATAAATAAATAGATAAATAAATAAATAAAACTACTGGAACTAATAGAGAGGTTCAGCAAAGTGGCAGGATACAAAGTCAACATACAAAAATCAGGTGGATTCCTCTACATCAACAAAGAGTCCTCTGGTAAAGAAATAAGGGAAACAATACCATTTAAAATAACTACTAAAAAGATAAAATATCTAGGAATAAACCTTACCAGAGACACAAAAGACCTATACAAAGAAAACTATAAAACACTGCTACAAGAGACTTGTTAACAAGGGCACTACATAAATGGAAGAACCTACCTTGTTCATGGATAGGTAGACTGAATATTGTGAAAATGTCAATGCTACTTAAAGCAATCTATACATTTAACACAATCCTGATCCAGAATCCAAAAAATTTTTATAAGGACATGGAAAAAACAATTACTAATTTCATATGGAAAGGAGAGACCTCAGATAAGCAGAGCATTTCTCAAGAAGAAAAACAAATGGGAGGTCTCACACTCCCAGATCTTAAGATACAGCCACAGTAGGCAAAACAGTGTGATATTGGTACAATGATAGACAGACCAATGGAACAGAATCAAAAGTCCAGATATGGACAACTGATCTTTGACAAAGATCCAAAACCCATTAAATGGAGAAGAGACAGCCTCTTTAACAAACAGTGCTGGAAAAACTGGATATCCACCTGCAGAAAAATGAAACAAGACCCATACCTCACCCCATGCACAAAAACAAACTCAAGCTAGATCAAAGACTTAAATGTAAAACCCAAAACTATAAAATTTGTCAAAGATAAAATAGAGGCAAATCTGGGAGCCCTAATTTATGGCATCAAGCATAACCCAGAATGCATAGAAGGTAAAGGAGAAGCTAGATGACTAGGTCCTTTTAAAAATTAAATTCTTATGCACATCGAAAGACTTCATCAAAAGGGTAAAAAGAGAACCTATAGATTGGGAGAAAATATTTGCCTATGACATATCTGACAAAGGACTTCTCTCCAAAATCTATAGAAAACTTCAACACTTCAACATCAAAAAGAAAAATAACCCAACTCACAAATGGGCAAAAGACTTGAACAGACACTTCACCAAAGAAGACATACAGGGAGCCAACAAACACATGAGAAATTGTTCGCTATCATTTGTCATTAGAGACATGCAAATCAAAACAACGATGAGATATCATCTCACCCCAGCAATAATAGCAAAGTTCAACAGATCAGAAAATAACAAATTTTGGTGAGGTTGCGGAGAGTTTGGAACTCTTGTGCACTGCTGGTGGGATTGTAAAATGGTACAACAATTGTGGCAAACAGTATGGCGTTTCCTTAAAAAATGGAAAATAGAAGTACCATTTGACCCAGCAATTCCATTACTAGGAATATATCCTAAAGAGGTGAGACATAGTGCACAAACAGATATACGTACACCTATGTTCATCTCAGCACAATTCACTACAGCAAAGAGACGGAAACAACCTAAATGCCCATCAATGGATGAGTGGATAACCAAATTATGGTACATGCACACAGTGGAATACTACGCTACATTAAAGAACAATGAGGGATACGTGAATCATCTCACAACATGGCTGAACCTGGAGGACATTATGCTGAGTGAAATAAGTCAATCACAGAAAGAAAAGGACTGTATGAGCCCATTACTGTAAAAAGACAAAGAAGGGTTTGCTTGGGAAAGGGAACTCACTTTGTAGGTTACCAGGATGGGGAGGGTGGGGAGGGATTAATTTTGGGATAGTCAGGGCCCATACGCTGATGTGGGTAAGGGGAGGGATATATGGAAATGATCTGTGGCCACCATGATAACATTAGGAAATGGGAGGATACCAAATTGTGCACGTAAGAGATAGATGACAGATGTTAATACCAACCAATGTGTCCACAACACTGTATTGCCATTAACACCAAATACTAGGCTACAAATAAACACATAAACATCTGAGAGGATCAGATGGGGGTTAGTGAACAGGAGTATACTCTAGACCAAGGATAGTTTCAGCTGAGGCTAATCTTGTACAGACACCAGTGATATAAAATACCTGCAATCCTTACAGAAACAATAGAAGACAGACACAGAGTAATCCCTCACAGAAAACCAGACACTATGGGAGAGAGATCCAATAGATCTACTGCCTCAGGACCATAGTACTGGGGGACACCAGACTCAATTGGCACAGCAAAATACAGAAAAGCCTTGTTCCACATCCTACATTGGTGAGTAGTGACTGGGGTCTTAAACACTTTCAAACAGCCATCTAAGGTGCAGCTAACAGTCTCCTAGCATCAGAAGCAAAGAAGAATTCAAGAAAAAGAAAAAAAAAAGGGGGGGGGCATTTGGTAGCAATCAGCCATAGGACACGATGGCCCTCAAGAACAGAAGAACTAGATGGTGCTTGGTTACCAATGCCAACCACTCAGGAAAGGATCAAATCTGGAGATCCTGGATAAAGTGGGAGGAAAAACATGGAACAAAATCCAAAAACTCAATAATGACCAGAATTACTGGTCAGATGAAATCTGACGAGACCCCCAATACTATGGCCCTGGAATACATTCTGTACCTGGAATAAAATTCACCCCCAGGGCCTGGCTCTTAGTCCAATAGTTAACAAGATATACATGCAGACCACTCAACCCAGGATGACACATCCACATATTCTATAGTAATACATCCCTTAGAGCAATAGACCATGGGTCACTAGAGGACCAACATTCAAATTGAGGAAATGCACGACAAACAGGAGTGCATAAATATGAGAGCAACAGGGGGAGGGTTACAGGATAGGTAGGGGAGGAGGCTGGGTTAGGATTGGACATGGTAAATGGGGAGTGAAACTAAACGTACACGTAAAATTGATTGCAAAACGAGCTCTTAAAATAAATAGCTATTAGAATTAATAAGTGTGTTTAATAAGGTTGCAAGAGAGAGGATCGTTATACTAAAGTCAATTGTGCTTCATACTTGCAATGAGCTGTCACAAATTAATAACAATGCCATTTACAACTGCATCAAAAACATAAAATATGTAGTGATAAACTTGACAAGAAAATTTAACACCTGTACATGGAAAAGTACAAAACATTGCTGAGAAAAAATAACAAAAAGAAATGGAGAGATACACTGTGCTCATGTGATTAGGAGGCATAACACCATTTAGATGTTATTTCTCCCCAAACCTATAGATTCATTGCAATCTCAACCAAAACACTAGCACATTTCTTGTAGAAATTGACAAGCTGATTCTAGAATTCATATGAAAATTTAAAGTGCCTGGAATAGCCAAAATAAAAATTTGAAAAAGAAGAATAAAGTTAGAGGATTGATACTACCTCAAATACTATGTGAAACAACAGCAGCCTTAGTGGCATCCTTATCTTGCTCCTAATTTTAATGACAATGGGTTGAATGCTTCTCCATTAGATATTAGGTTTGCTGTAGAATTTTTGGATATAAGTTTTCAGTTTAAGGAAATGTCTTTCTATTCCTACTTTTCTATGTTTTTTTTTTTTTTTTTATCATAAAGTTGTTGAACTAAGCAATATATGCTTTCATATTGATTTAAAATGCCATGTTTTTATCTTTTAATATGGTGAACTACACTGATAATTTCTCTAGTAATGAGTCATTTTTGTATTTCTAGGTTACCCCCTATTTGATTACCATACGTTTTCAAACAAAAGTTCTCACAAATTTTTAATGAACCAAACTATTAGTATAAGAGCATAAAAACAAAAGAAAAAACATAATTTACCAAACAAAATATGTATAATTGTTCAGGTAGATAACAAATTTTCATTTTGATATGGTAAGATGCTAGTGAACTTGATCAACCATAAACATGTGTGCCATCCCATGTGCAACTCCTATATGCCCAGTTTGGTTCTTCTCCAATGTCTCCTCCTGAGATGGTAACTTACTTTACCAATTTCCATGTGAATCACTTGGGGAATGGGATGATTCTGCTTTTGCTTCTTGGCCAGGAATCTCTTGATCCTAAAAGTCTTGACTCTAAAAGACATGGCAAGGATGGAAGTCGACTACACACACCACAATGGTGGAGAAAGGGAGAGAAGAAGGTTGTTGTGATATATTTTAATACGTTATTTTATTTACTCAGCTACTATTTAGGAATTTTTCTTCTGCATTGATAAGTGAAATTGGAATAGTGTTTACTTATGTTGTTCTCACATGATTTTTTAATTTAAAATTACATTAGACTAATAAAATAAGCTGGAGAATTTTCTCTTACAAAAAAAATAGAAACTGACTTCGAAGTTCCTTGAAAGTTTTTTTTTTTTTTTTTTAATTCACTTATAACCTGTCTGGGCTTGGGGTTTTGAGGAAAGGGAATCTTTGAACACCATTTTAATTTACTTAATAATTACTGGTTCATTTATGTTTTACAATTTCTTCATGATCCAATTTTGGCCCTTGTTTTTCCACAACTTTATTTATTGCAGTTTTTCAAATTCATTAACATATAGCTGGACAGAATATATATGAGTGTTGGTCCTTTCAAGCTGTGCTTAAATTCACATACTAACCTGTGCTTATTTGAATAGGCCAGCCTCTTTCCAATTGAGAACAGAACACCATGGTGTTTGATAATGTTTACAAAAATCCTTAGAATTTTGTACAACTAACAATGTCTCCAACACATCATGTATCCTATGACTTCCCTTGAAATTCTATATTCTGTTAACAGAAATTTAACTTGGGTTCTCTCTTAAATAACATGTAGGCAATTTTTCACTTTTTATTTGCCTTTGTACTTCATTTCACCAAAGGCTAGTACTGTGTCTTCTTTGTTCTTAAGATTCAACCTTTCACCCTCAGTGTCTAGTGCATTGCCTAAATAATCATGTTGATGTATTGATTAAAATTTAAAGTATTATATCTACTACAGTACAGTAAACCCAGGATTAACCAGAGAACTGCTACCTAGAACTCCTATTTAACAGTAAAATTTTTCTGATAACACCTCCACCTTTAGAAGTAACAAACTGAAAATATAATAACCACCATTCATTGTAAACCTATGGTAAGCCTGATGTATATTGGCAGTGAGGATGTACTTCCTAGAAGCTTTCAAAGAACAAAATCCCACACTTTACTAGAAGTAAAAGAGAAGTTTTATTGAGGAATAATAACAATACAATTGGGCAGCACATAGTGAGATTACTAAGTGCTCCAAAGAATAGAGAATAAGAAGGGTTTTATATAGAAGTTTAGGGAAACAGTAGACATTTGTAACCATAAATCATACATCAGTTAATCTACAGGCATCCTGGAGCCAGCCTGAGAAAGCATTTTCAAAAATGGTTCCCTTTATCTTTCAAGGACAAGGACAGCTTGTGCAAAACCATTATTTCTGAGAATAGCCACAGTTTTGCCCCATCAGAGACAGAGAAGATTAACCTGTTACTGTGAGTTTGGCCAAAATACCTCTCATTTTTTTAGGTCTGCTAGAACAAAATTTTATTAAAATCACTAAAGGAAAAATCTTATGAATCTCATGGTAATGATGGGAAAGCATAGTTAGCAAGGATGAAGTAATTTGCCTGGAGTCACTCAGAGAGTAAGTTGCAGAATGAAGATGAAAATTCTGATGTGTCTGGTTTTTAACTGCTATGATGATAAATTTTATGTGTCAATTGGCTAGGCTATGGTTGCCAGTTGTTTTGTCAAACACTAGTTTATTTCCTGTTATGGAATAGTTGCATATGATTAAATCAGTTGAACTTTGTAAAGCAGATTACCTTCCATAATGTAATCTAATATAATGTCATTGATTAATCAATTGAAAAGAGGGTTTCCTAAGGTGTTTTACCTCCAGACTATAAATACATATTTTGGCAGAATTCTTACCTTAGTTTTCCTGTCACCTGACCTACAAAGCTTGGTATTCTACCCTACAGGTGTCTCTGTCACCTAAGCACATGTTTTAGATTTATTAGCCTATGGTAATAGGCTGTCAGGTTATCATACTGTGGTGGCTTACATGTCGCTGTGATAGTGGAAGCTATTTCACTGGTATTTCAAATACCAGAAAGGTCACCCATGGTAGACAGGTTTCATTGGAGCTTCCAGACTAAGACAGATCAGGAAGAAGGATGCACCAGGCCCACTTCTGGGGGGAAAAAAATTGGGGACTGAAAACTTTACGAATAGCAGAGAAATGTTGTCTGATATAGTGTTGGAAGATGAGCCCCTCAGATTAGATGGCACTCCAACTACAACTGTGGAAGAGCTGCTTCCTCAAGTTAGAGTTGACTTTAATGACATAGATGGAGTAAAGCTTTTGGAATCTTCATTTGCTGATGTGCCATGATTCAAAATGAGAAGAAACAGCTATAAACATCCATTAATTATTGGAATTTAGAATACATAGATTATGAATGTAAGAAAATTAGAAGTTGTCAGAAGTGAATTGCAACACACAAAGATTGATATCCTAGGTGTTAATGAGCTGAAATAGACTGGTATTGGTCTACTATGGTGGGAATGACAAATTAAAGAGCAATGGTATTGCATTCATCATCAAAATGAACTTTTCAAATTCTATACTGAAGTACAATATCATCAATGATAGGATAATATCCATATGCCTACAATGAAGACCAGTTAATACTACTATTCAAATTCACACACCAACCACTAAAGCCAAAGATGAAGAAATTGCAGATTTTTACAAACTTCTGAAGTCTGAAATTGACCAAACATGCAATCAAAATGTATTGGTAATTACTGGTGATTGGAATGCAAATACTGGAAACAAAGAAGAAACATCAGTGGTTGGGAAAAACAACATAAACAGTGACCTTGCAAGATGGAATATATGGGAATCAAATTGAGTACATTTGTGGAAAGATACGATGGAGAAGCTCAACATCATCAGTCAGAACAAGGCCAGGGGCTCACTGTGGAACAGACCATCAACTGCTCATATGCAAGTTCAAGTTGAAGCTGATGAAAAGTAAATCAAGTCCACAAGAGCCAAAATATAACCTTAATTGTATCCCACCTGTACTTAAAAACCATCTCAAGAATAGATTTGATTAACTGAACACTACTGACTAAAGAATATAAGAGTTGTAGGATGACATCAAGGATATCATACATGAAGAAAATGAAGGCCATTAAAAAGACAGGAAGAAAAGAATGACCAAAATGGATATCAGAAGAGACTCTGAAACTTGCTCTTTAATGGAGAGTAGCTAAAGCAAATGGAAGAAATGATGAAGTAAGAAAGCTAAACAGAAAAGGATAGAGTAAAGTATTATAATGAAATGTGCAAAGAGTTGGAAAATCAAAGGGGAAGAACATGCTCAGCATTCTTCAAGCTGAAAGAAGTGAGGGAAAAAAATTCAAGCCTTGAATTGTGATATTGAAGGCTCCTATGAGCGAAATATTGAACAATGCAGGAAGCATCACAAAAGATGGATAGAATACACAGGATCACTGTACCAAAGAATTGGTCAATGTTCAACTATTTCAGGAGGTAGCATATGACCAAGAACTGATGGTATTGAAGGAAGAAATTCAAGATGCACTGGAGAAAAAGGGGGGGGGGAAGAACTCACTGCCATTAAGTCTATTCCAACTCATTGGGTTCCCAGGGCTGTAAATCTTTGTGGAAGCAGACTGCTTCATCTTTCTTCCATGGAAAGTCAGTGTCAAACCACTGACACTTTGGTTAGCAGCCAAATGATTAACCAGTACACCACCAGAGCTTAGCCAAAAACAAGTATGCAGGAATTGACAGAATACCCCTTGAAATGTTTCAATAATGGATACAGTGTTGGAGGCACTCACTTCTTTATGCCAAGAAATTTGCAAGACAGCTACCTGACCAACCTACTGGAAGATATACATATTTGTGCTCATTCCAAAGAAAGGTGATCCAGCAGAATGTGGAAATTATCAAACAATATCATTAATATTATACACAAGTAGAATTTTCCTAAAGGTAATTTAAAAATTGCAGTTGCAGCAGTAGATCAACAGAGAACTACCACAAACTAAAGTCAGAATCAGAGGAGGGCATGGAATGAGTGATCATTGCTGATGTCAGATGCATCTTGGTTGAAAGAAAAAAATATATATACCAGAAAGATGTTTACCTGTGTTTTATTCACTATCCAAAGGCATTCAACTGTGTGAATCATAACAAATCATAGATAACATTGTGAAGAATGGGAATTCGAGAACATTTAACTGTGTTTGTAAGGAATCTGTACATACACCAAGAGGCAGTCGTTCAAACAAAACAAGAGGATTCTGCATGGTGTAAAATCAGGAAAGGTGTGTGTCTGGGTTGTATCCTTTCACCACACTGATTCAATAAATACGCTGAATAAATACCCAAGATGCTGGACTATATGAAGAAGAATGCAGCATGAAGATTGGAGGAATACTCACTAATAATCTATAATATGCAGATGACACAACCTTGTTTGCTGAAAGTAAAAAAGACTTGAAGCACTCGCAGATGAATATCAAAGACTACAGCCTACAAAATGAATTACACCTCAATAGAAAGAAAACAAAAATCCTCACAACTGGACCAATAAGCAAAATCAAGATAAATGGAGAAAAGATTGAAGTTGTCCAGTATTTAATTTTACTGGATCCACAATCAATACCTATGGAAGCAGCAGTGAAGATAGCAAATGACATATTACATTGGGCAAATCTGCGGCAAAAGGCCTCTTTAAAGTGTACAAGAGCAAAGGTGTCACTTTGAAGACTATGGTGCACCTGACCCAAGCCATGGTATTTTCAATAGCCTCATATACAAGTGAGAGCTGGACAATGAATAAGCGAGACCATAGCAGAATTGATGCCATTGAATTTTGTGTTGGAAAAGAATATTGAATGCATCATGGGATGCTAGAAGAATGAAAAAATCAGTCTAATGAGACTGAATGCTCCTTAGAAGTAAGAATGGCCAGACTTCAACCCTCATACTTTGGTCATGTGGTCAGAAGGGACCAGTTCCTGGAGAATGATATTATGA